AGGAGTCATAAATCAATCACTCCATCAGCTAGCGGCTCGCCAACAATTGCTCACTTCCAGTCGGCTGATTTTTATGTCCGATAAATTATTCTAATTTGAGACTGCTGCATTAATCATAATTATGAGCGACGTTTTATCGAGTAAAAGCAGACGAGCAAACACGCTCTGACACGCCGATTCGATTGCCCGCGAACTATGTATAGGCGAGAGAAAGAGAGCATTAATCTCTTCCACTGAAAAAGCAGCAGATTAGCGCTTGATTTATATGCAGCGCTCTCGGAAACAGCAGAGTGCAAATCGCGCTGTCGCCGCCCGTTTCAACGACCCAATTTCCCGCCTTTTCAAATAAATGCACTTTGCGCTAAATTTTCCCGAGCGGCTGCCATTTTTCCGCGGCACACGGACCTCTTTCGTGTACTTATCTCCTTGTTTCCATTGTGCACTGTTGTTCTCGCGAGAGCTCTTTCTTTTCGCCTCCTCCTGCATAATGTATGAAGGCACTGACGGACTCCTCTTTTCTTTCCTCCATCTTTCTCTCTCTCCCGTCTTCGCGAGGGCTGCTTTTGTGCCCGTGCGTGCCATTAACGGTGCTAATTGCTCGAGGTTTTGCCTTCAAATCTCTTCCTTTGGCACATCATTGTCTCAAAATTTGGCTATTTCGCCAGCTTGTGCGAATTAATTCATCTCGTGCAGACCCAAAGGGAGATGAGTAGAAAATTGTTCCGAGAAAACGCGCAATCAATTTTAATTTTGCGCAGACCGTCTCTTGGAATTAAACTGTTCTCTGAGCATCTTTACGAGCTCGGCGAATTTATAAATAAAATCCTGCTGAACGGTAGCGAGGCGTTGTGAAGAGGAACTTGGAGGAACTCTGCAGGTAATAAGTAATAATAATTTTCGTAATTACCCTCTTGCCACCCAGACAGTGTGCTTTCCATGGAGGAGAGAATTAATTATTCCGCAACAATGGTTCGTTTGAAAGAGCACTTACAAAATCCTCTGAATGCGCGTTTGTGAGTGCTGTGAAATTTATGCGTTCCGCGTTCAATGTGCGCACTAAATACTTAATTGAAATTACTTTTGTCAAATATCTTAAATTGCAATTTCATATTTATGCATAAAAAAAGAGGCATTCAAAGAAATATTTAATATAAAATATTTAGCTCTCAGATTTTTTTTTCATTTTACATTTCTGTTTAAAATTTAAACTTGGTCAATTTCATCACAGTGAAAATTTTTGGCTTTAATATAAGTGTGTCAATAATTAAAGGAGAATAGCTGAAAAAAATTAACTCTCAGCAAGGGGCTAAAAAGCAAAGGGTTTCTTAATAATGAAGAGAAAATACACCGAAAAAATCTCCCCTCATTGTTAAACCCCACGCAGAGAGAACTTTTATGAAGTTTCGTGCGCACCCAGAGTGCGAAAATTTTAAAAGGGCCTATAATAGAAGCGAGCGGGTTATTTATTAACGCGGAAATGTAGCCGAGAGCGGGCGTTCGTGTACGAGGAAAAGTACTCATCCCGCAGCGTTAAAGCCTCTGCCATGATGAGAGTTTTTCGGGACGTTTATTTAGCTGTTCACTTTTCTAACAAGGCATTGCACTTATTTAAACAACACAAAAGGCTTATGCGAGCCGAAAGAAGGAGCGGAAAATCCGCGGAGAGCAGAGCGTATCATCATCTCTGGTCGGGAGAAAGAAAAAGAAGGGCAGCAGTTCGCGCACAGGAAGAAAGGAAAAAGAGAGCGAAAGCGAACTCTTTTAATTTTGAGCCGCTCCCAATTGTAAATATTAAAAGCTCCTTTTTATGCTCTCGGATTTATTGACTGCTGCTCTCAGAATGGAAACCCGCTCTCGCTTTCTTATATAAAAGTGTACGACGCTTTGCCTTCGCGCCGCTCTTGCCAATTCCCGAGACTGAAATTAGAAAAGTTACTCAAGCTGAAATTTGAGAGTTATTCCAGTTTTAATTACGTCAAATATATTCAGCGCTGATGGGGGTTTTCTCTTTCTTATTTCTCTCTTCCCTCCGCAACTTACGCGAGCTCTCCCTCTAATTTAAATTGTACGCTGTATCGACCCGTGGGCCACCTTTCAAGAAACTGAAAAGACATAATATATGTCCACATTGCTTCAGTATGAGCATGCAGGGTTAAAATCGTACTTTTTTAACTTTTATTGTTCAATTTGAGAAAAGAAACCTTCAATTAAAAAAAAAATTAAAATCGAAATATTGCATAAAATAGACATAAATGAATAAATCAAAGAAAAAGTGGAAGCGCGGCATTATTTTACTTTAAATATTTCTTTTTAAATCAAGATATCTTAAAAAACTGAAAGGTAAATTTAGCGTGACCGCGGCGTCCGAGTCTTTCCTGTTGCTGGGCGTTTTAGCAGACATCATCATCTGTTTCATCCTTTCCAAACCCTTTTAAATTGTTTCTTCCCTTATTTCTCCAATTTTTAACATTTTGTTCTGATCAAAGAAGAATATAAAATAATTATAAAGCTTGATGATTTGAATTTAAATTCGGCTTTTCCTCGAAAGTGTTTTTGTGAGTTTTTATTGTTTAAGAAGAAACAATATCCTGCCCTACAACATGTTTCGGCTGCTCTCGGCTTTTTTTTTTTAGGGTCAGGCCAAGACAAAGTCTTGTCGGCCTGTGCCCTTTTTAGTGGCGCAGAAGGTGCCACTCAATTTTGTCTTTTTTTTATTATTTTCGACCACCGCCGAGAAAGCTCATGAATTATGGCTGCAGCCCGCAGCCGACACATGTAGAGCAGGATATTGTTTTTTCTTAAACAATAAAAACTCACAAAAACCCATCGAGGAAATGCCGAATTTAAATTAAAATCACCATGAATCAACCCTCGATCGTGAACTTTAGGACAAATCCAAAATTTAACATCAATTCTTTATTTGTTTGTTTTCACACCCGCACTGGTAATAATTTAATATAAAGCAGAACTTGTAACTTCGGGCAAGTCAACATTCTTATTTTAGAAAAATCCCAAATTTAACATTAATTCTTTATTAAATAAATATTGTAAAATTTTGGTACACTCTTGAAAATTGTTGCTGCATGCTGTTTATTGTTCTTAATCTTGGGTTAATCATATCCAAAATTATGGAATCTTTTTAAGAATGTATTATGAAATAGTAAGAAATATTGGAATTCATGGCGTAGCTAAAAATGTGATTCTTTCTGTATTGTCATTAATGCCAAAAAACAGCTATCAAAATCTATAATCAATTTAACCTATTGCGTTGGCTTTTTTAATCTGTTTTTGAATAAAAGCTATAATGGAGGTTTTGTAGGCTGCAAAATGCACTCACCCTCGAAGAAGTTAAAAAAGTTTGAAGCTCTTGCAGATGTGCAAATGAATAAGGGACCAATATATTGGATTTTGTGAGAGGCACGGTGCTAAAAGCAAAACAAGCCATAATCCGAAACAAGAAAAAAGCCTCAGCCCCATGAGAAAATTCTCGGCTGCTTGGCATTTTTATTGGGGACGAGAAGCGAAAGCAAAGGGAAACGTCGGTAGAAATAAAATAAATCCTGGACGGCGGTGGCGAGGTTTAGCCCGGCCGGCTCTTTCGCGCTCACCCAAATCTTGATTACTTTCTGCACTCTTATTTCTTTATTGCGACTGATAAGCCAAATGCGGAATAAATCTGACAAATCAGGACGCTTTTCCAAGGAGAACCGCTTTAGTTGGGGAGGAAAGTCCCAATGACATAATTCAACGTGGATCTGATAAAGGACACTTAGGCTTTTGTGGCCATAGAGGAAGACTTTCAATGCTATTATAAGTGATTATTAACCAGATAGTGATAATTAGGTTTGAAAAGCATTTTTCACGATGAACAAACGGTATGTTTTATATTTATACGATTTATGATAAAACTCATTTTAGCAAATTCGGGTACAAAATTTTTAATGGATATTTTTTGAATGATTTCCTAACTATTATGTATATGGGTTAAAAAATTTAAAAAGTGTAATGAAAAAAATAATTATTGAATAATTTAATTCATGCAAGTAATTTTTCATTTTTATTCATGATTCTTTGACAAGGCAATTTAATAATTTTACTGAAATCTTCTTTAATATTATAATTTTAAATTTGGCAGTATTTTTTATTTTCTTTCGTTTTTTTAAGCTATTGGAAAGATTTTTAAAAAAAAGTGTGCTAGGCTAGAAATACAGCGTAGACGAGATGCTAGCAGGAATAGGTATTGTGCATGAGGGAGCGAAGCAAAATGTCATTCCCAGCAGCGCAGAAACGCCCTCGACTTATGACGAAGGAGTTAAACATATTTCACACTCGCTCGGCTTTCACACTTGGTTTCATCCAGTTACTTTTAATTGGAGATAACGAACGCGCCACCAGAGAGGTGCTCGAATGATGATAAAAAAGATCAAGCTGCCGCCGCCGCCGCTCTATGAGGAGGAGAGATTCGTTTTGCGGAGGGTTTTTACCCGGCCAGAAAAAGTCACTCCAAGGATTTGCATGCAGTCCTCGCGAGGGGCCAATTTTTTGCGCGTCTGAATAATTAGCTGGCAGTTTCGATCCGCGTGCAAATTCACTCGCATTTGAAAATGAATTATAAGAAACTTGGAGCTTTTGATTCAATCAGCCCTTTCGAGTCGGGTGCTTCGGCCAAAAAAGAATTTCCTTCCTCTTTTCTTCATACAATAAAAGCTCATTTTTTAATTAGCATCGCCGGCTTCTGTATTTCAATTAAAACATATTACAATATATATCAAATAATTTTCGGTTTAAGGTGTTTGAATATTATAAATTTTGATTTCTAATTAATTCTAGATAACTTGTAATCTGCTTGTAATTATATCTCTTTATTTTAAACTAAATTGTAAAAAAAAATATTTTAGCTCATAATTTGTATAAAAATTTTCTTGATTGTGTAATGTGATTTCATAATATAATTAATTATTGGAAGAAGAATAGGTAAATAAAATATTAAATTGGCTTACCTGCTTCAATGCACATTTTAAGAAGTGATCGATGAAGGTCCACCGCTCGAAACTCGACACCTGCACACTCTCCTCATTGCTTTCTTGACCACACCACTGACATCACTATAATTGCTATGTCAGCAATTAGCATTCACATTCACGTTCAACAATGTGTTTTGATAAAATCGCATGATGATGTAAACACCAATGAGTCCATCCCGCACAGGTGTGAAGAGAAGACTGCCTGACTGAGCTGAATTACATAGTTTTGCTGATGGTTTTTGAGAATAAGTTACTTTTGTAGGTATAGTGTAGATACATAATGGAGAGAAATAGTTTCATATTGCGTCTCCCTCTCTCTCCTCTGCACAAATAAGACTAGTTATTCTATATAGAAGACATTCCTTTAATTCCTCATGCCAGTTGAATTCCTAACATATTTTGTTCACATTCCTCATTTTTATTGTGTCAGAAAGAAGGTGTGCATTAAAATAATTTTAATTCAGTTTAATAATGATATTTATTTATTTAAATTTTTAATAAATGAAAGTGCCGCAGAAGTTTTCGATAAAATAAAAAAGAATATTTTAAAATTTCATAAAGGATTTTTCAGGAATAATATCAATTTGGTTAATTTTTATCAGTTCATGATTTTATTGATCCCATTTAATACTTAAAATTCGGAGAATTTTGATGAGGAATAAAACTTTCCTATAATTGATTGTTACGAATCCTGCAATTGCAGACGGACTTCCCACATTAATTCGCAACAACTAGAAAGTTGCGTGTGCGTCAGAGATTCGCCTGGCTGTGGTGCGTTGGTGGTTTCGGCCTCTCGGTGCTGCCGCTGACATTGATGCAATTTTCATCAAGCCTTGTCTGTCGGCGGCGGAGTTGGAGCGAGCGAGGTGATAGATTGCATTCGAGTAGGTATACTTTTTGCTTTGGCCAGCCGTGTGCGACCCGAAACACCTGGTGCACATCATACTATACCTGCGCGCGGATAGAAATGAATTAGAGACCTCTTCTCACCGGGAAACTAACTGCTCCACCGGGAGCTGCTGACTATTGTGTGGTGCACCATAAACTCTGTTTTGTTCCGCAAGTAAATTATCTCTGATAAATGAGGTCTTTAAAAAAATTTAAATAGTCAACAATTTAATTAATCTTCCTCGTAGACATTTTTAAATCTGGCTTAATTTCTTTGTGACATTTTTAGTACTAAAAACTAATTAATTAAAAAAAAATGCAAAAATTAAAATATAAAAAACTTACTGTTTTTAGAAATTATAAATTATCGTCGAATAAAATCTTTCGTCTCATTAATTTAAATTTCATTTTGATTTATAAACATTCGAGTCACAATTCCAATGGGAAATAAACTCCTGCATGTAAAAGGCGATTAGTCATAAGTTACTAACTAATTTAAGGAAATTAATAGTTGATAATCTACCCCTGAAAAACGCTATTGGAGTGACCAAATTAGCACACTGCAAGAAACACGCGTTTTTTCATCGAGTTCATCCTCTCTCTGACCACTTTGCTTTTTCATTTTGGAATTGCGGCCCAAAAGTGCTCTCATCCGCGGCGGCTCGAAATCTTGTTTGCGCTGAAATTTTCGTTCGCTCTCCACTGCCGCACATAGTTTCAAAAGTTAGGCCATCACTGGCCGGGCCAGTATGCAAAAGAGAGCCAGCGGAGCGCACAATGTATTTATTTGCTCTGCTCTCCTGGATGAAAAAGAGCGCGCCGGATTCTCGCGCGTATTTACCAAAAAGCTGCCGGCTCGGTCGGTCCTTCAAATGTATGCAAATTGAGTATCCCGTTAAAAGTTTCTTTGTTGTTAGAGAGGCTGGAAAAGCGGCGGCGGTGCGGCGAATGTAACGAGTGCAGATGAGCGAACCGACGAGTTGCCTCTCTTTTTGCAAGTGCATTTTATGAAAAATATTAATTTGGCAAAAAGGCATGAGCAGCTTTTTAGGTCCACCTTTTTTATGTATTTTCCGAATTTAGGCACACTGGGAGCAATAATTGGTTTCAATTTTAAAAATTTTCATCTTCTAAAGAGCACCCAAGAGAGGAATAAAACTTTCTTTACATAAGCAGCGTGAATTGGCTGCACTTCATAATTATTTTACCCCATTTGCAATTTTCATTTTTTCTGTTCCTACGTTTCTGTTTTTTCTTTTCCTGTATAAATTGAAATAGTCCAAGAAGGAGTTACGTTGGAAATGGAAAGAGAATTTTAAAGGAGCGCACACGCCACTCAGGAAGAGAGAGAAGTAGGCGCCACGGTGCCCGACTTTTTTTCTTTTTCCGTCACGTCCACTTTCATTTATCACCTCTTTGACATTTCACTCTTATATACCTGCGCGTTCTGCTTGCTAGCTGTGTCTTTAAGCCATTATGCAGCGCGCACCTGAAAGAGCAGCAAATGACTTTTAGGTGTGGCTTCCTGTAATTTTCGACTCTCTTTTACTCTCTCTGGAAAACTGCCTCCGCTGACCTTTAGCCGGTAATTATGGCAGAGCTGCCGCTTTCTTTCACAACCCCTGCTTTTTAACTCTAAAAAAAGAGAGGAGGAGAATTTCTCGGCGAAAAAATAATGCAGGGAGTCTTTGCCTGTTTAAATAATTTACTTTTCTTGTTAACGTTTAAATTTCAGGTACAAATTTTATGATCTGAAAATTTGATAATTTGGTCAGAATTTTCCCCAAGATAATTTGCATAAATTTTGTATAAAATTTGATTTTTCAATTTTATTTACTGACATTACTTTTACTAAATTAAACTTCAAATTATAATTTTAAACACTATTTTGATCAGATTTATGTTAGGGAAAAGAGTTTTTAAAAGGTTTTAAATGACAACAACATTTTATTCATATTTAAACTAATTTTTATCATCGTACTTATTCCATTGTGTACCGATTTTGACTTCGTTTTAGTGTCATTATTTTTTGATATGTGATCGAGTGAGAAAGAAATTGTTGGAGAGACATAATAATGCACTTCCGAATGCTTTTGCAATAACGCAGATTGTCCCCCAGCTCCCATATTGCGCAGTAACAATAAAGGCGAGTGCATATAAAAGCCATGCAGATAGAGATAAAATGCACAACAGGCTATTAAGGAGCGACTTCAACTGACATTAATGGACTCGGAGATAATGTTTTTCGGAGTCAGCAGAAGCGAGAAATAAAAATCCGTCATAAGAGAAAAAGGGTCGCATGCAGTGAGAGCGCAGACAATAGATGGATGATCGGATGGCGGCTCATCAGTCTTGCGACGTCAACACCCAAATCAAGAGACAGGAAGTGCGAGAGAGACAACAACAACAGTGTCACCCTCAACAAATTATGTTTGCATTACACGCGGCGCAGCTCCTTTACTCTGTCAGCAAACAGCAAGATTAAGACATCAAAAAGCTGCTCGGCGCTTGATGACTTATTACTCTCGCGTCGCTCTCTCTTGACTTGTAATGCGATTATTACAAACTAGCGTCTTTCATTTTTTTTTTCTTCTTTTTTTTTACTGAATTCTTCAGGAAGTTCTTAAAAATAACAAATTAATTTCTGTAGACACTTCATTCCCTCGTACATTATTTCTCACATCAAATAGACTTTTTGATCTTTGCAGCTGATGATAATAATTTGCTAAAGATTAAGGAACGGACAAAACCGCAACACGGCCAGAAACAATGGCTCCTGATATACTATTTAACGACTAAAGCAGCCGCTGGTTATTGCTGCACAAAAGGAAGAGCTGCTGCCCCAGCGTTTTGTAACGGCCTGAGAATTATTTTCGCTAATATCCAACTTCCAGCGGCGCACACACCATCACCATAGAGCGCCCAGCCCGCTCTGAATAAATCCAACTAATGTGCGAGCAAGTCGTAATACATGCGGACCATTTTTATTACTGCGCAACCGAAATCGAATTAGAATGTTACATTACTTTCGGCTCCACAAGATGAAAGTGGAGCTTTTTTACGCCCCAGCCAAAGTCGACTGGCTTTTGAAGCTATTACTTGGCACAATTTTCCAATGAATTAAATGTTTAGTGGCCTCGTTATTCCAATTTATGGTCGTGGCGCCAACAAATAATTTATTCAAGGACTAATTGTTTTGCGTTGCGGATTAATTAAGAGCTTCCAAAACAATGTACTTAATTGCATTTTAACACACATCCTTCTTTAGTGTAATTTAATTCTGTGTGCCAAAAATCCCCAAAAGCAGGAAAATATAATTTTAGGAAAAAGTTTTCCATCATAAAATATTTAATCGAATTTCCTTCTCTTCCACTTTACATAACATTTGTACAATCTACGTTTATGCGGAGCAGGGCGGCAAGTGCGGTGGAGATATAGATGCAATTTGCGCCAAGTTCCGTCTTCGGCGGAGTTTGTTATCAGAAAGAAGGATGACTTATGGCAGAGAACGCGCGTGCCTTATCGACTGGCAGACCTGCCATTGTAATGCACGCCTCAGGTGCTACCAAACAATAAGTTTCTTGAAGAATGCCAACCTACAGCCGCCTCCCTGCGCTTGCGAAGAACAAGCAGAGACGACGACTAAAGAGTATAAGGCGGGTGGCCCGCACAAAGCGGCAAGATACACACACACAGCCGACTGCGCCTTAACCCTATCTCCGCTCTTTGTTCTTCACTTTCGCCGGCGAGCTACAATAATTGCCATCCTGTCCAAAAGGGGCGGATTTAGCAAAATAATAATTTTGTTGCTAAAATTTCAATTAAATTTTTATGGTAATAAATTATTTTAATAAATAATTTAATTGATAATACATACTCAAAATAAATGATTAGTTAAGTAATTTGTATAATTTTATGTAATGATTTTACTTTGGGAAATCTCTGTACTTCAAAACCTTTTACTATATTTATAAAAAAAACACAAAAGCCTTGCATTGGGAGCAAAACATCCAAATTAAATAATTCAAGAAGGAAATCATTAATTGTTTTATGAAGGATATATTAAATATTTATTATCTAATGACAATGCTCTAATTATAAGCGACTTTTTTTATATTAATTTGGTCCTTTTGCAAAATCTTTTAAGACTGAGCATTCATACACACAAACCCTTTGACTGAATCTTAATTCATTCAGTCAGACGTGAAACCAAACGGGTGGAAGTAAAAAGATCAAAAGTGAAAGGAATCAGTTTCCTTCATGCGCCACTGGCCGCGGTCGGGGGATGCGCCGAGCGACTTTTGCATCTCTCTCTCTTGCCAAGT